ACATATGCCCCTCTTTCGAAGCGAAAGTATTAAAATAATATATTTATATAATTTACCAATTATACATTGATGTCGTTATTGAGAAAATACTATGTTTTTATGGCTTGGATCTAGTCATACAATCAATAACATTATGATATACAGGGTGGGGATAAAGTATGGAACCAAGTAAATATCTTTAGAAGGAAAACATGATATTCATGAAACTTTCCATCAAAGTACATTGATACTTGGCGCATCTACTGCCGTATTTTACCCTCAACATATTAATTACTCAAATAAGATAATCTGTATATTTTTGCAGATTTTAAAAGAACTTATTCCTAATTCACACATACTAAGCTCGGTAGAAAAAAGATTTAAACTGAGATATTATTCACTTTACACATAAAGAATAGGTAAATTTATTGACCAAGATCAATGAGAATAATAATTTTAAAAAATCTCTTAAAATGTTCAAAAATGCTTGGTATTTTACCTCATGAAAATATACAAACTTATTAATAAATTACTGAGTCACCCTTTCCAATACTTTTGCATGCATTCGTTCACATTAATTCATTTGTCTAATCGAATCAGGTGATTTTAGATAATCAGAACAGGTGAAGTTATTTATTAAATTTAACTACTTCTCACCGGTCAAGTTTACGTCTTTCAATGGCAATTAATTGCAAGGACTTTTAAAATCAGCAAAAATATACTGGGTGTCCCAACTAAATTATTATATCGACGGTTAAACTGCAAAACCTCGTAAGTCAGTTTTATGTAACTTTACACGAAAACTTTAACTTTACAGGAGAGACGAAAAACGTGTTGGCTTCTTGACTTAACATTCAGTTTTCTCGTTTTTTGAGTGTAGGGTTCTTTTGAGGTAACGATTACATTACTTTTAAGTAAAATTTAGTAACATTGTTTTTTTTTTTGTCAAAAAAACCACTTACGAGGTTTTGCAACTTAAAATCTTAAACTGTCAGTAAACTTACGAGGTTTTGTCTCAAAAGAACCACTTCCGAGGTTAAAAAAAAAGCAATAAATTAAATTATTTTTAGTTAATTTATTACATTACATCACCTATGGTATAAAACTTATAAAATATTCTTAAAAACGAGTAGTGACAACCAATCTTTATACTTAAAAAGTAAAAAAATCAAAATCAAAATAGCCGTAGTTTTATAAAACTTGCTAATATTCACTATTAAATTAAATTCTGTTTATAAGAATAAAAAAAAAAATAAAAAATAAAAATTGTGATAATTTATAATTGGCTAATATCCTCTACTTACTCATGAGCAAGGAGACTCATAAAAATGCCGAAAATCTTTAGGAATAAAGTTTTTCATATCCTGCAAATCATTAAATTTAGAAAGTATTTTTGGTGCAGTAGGATATGATAATGGCGGAGCATTATTTGCTTTTTCTTTGTTGGGTTGTTGCGGTATTAGTTTCCAGTCATCTTCGTAATACAATTTGTACTCTATAAGACCATTCGGACGATATGCTAGACACCTTAAATTTGTGACTGTAGGATCACCAATAATCTTTAAAGAAAAGATGATCTAGGTAATGAACATCATAAGGATGCTGTAATTTTGCATTTTTATAAATTTGAACATAACAGCCAGGTACATAAATGTCCCTATTTTTCAGCTGACTTACTTTTACATACTTTTCAATCTGGTGAATGACAATTGATGTGAAGTCAGAAGCTTTTATATTTCCGGCTCCCTCATGCCAGATGTAACAGTCACCCTTATTTGATGCTAGATTAAAAAAGCACACGTTGTGAACATTAAGTTTCTTTTTATAGTACGAAACAGATACTTGCAATTTTGGCGCACTTAAAACCGTATGTAAATCCATAGTGAACAACAATTTAGTTGAATCGTTTTTAGTGGACTGTTTTAATTTTTTCCTTTTCTTGGCGAGCAGCATTTTTTCTAATAATATGTAACTGATAATCTTCATTACTTACAGTCCCAACAGTGTTACTAGTGCAGATGTCACACTGGTCCTTCCTAAAAAAAATTGATTTATTGGAGGCAATAAAATAACAATAAGTAAACACTTACTTTGGCCTAAACAGAGACAAATTTTGGTCCTCAAATTGTCTTCTAAAATACGTGTGACTTACTGGAGCATGTTCGTTAGTTGATCGACATTCATTAGTGTAACATCTATATAATTCGTTTATATTTTGCCACATCGGTTCTAAATACAATTTAGATGTTTCTTTACGACAATAGTGGCTTTCAAGTTTGGGCAACTTTTGAAAAAAGTTAATTAGGAACTTTTTCTTTTCCGTTGGCTCGGATTTACAATTAGTATTCAATTGCTCAATATTTTGCGTTTGAGTTACGTTTACCCAACTTGCTACACTCCACTCCCCTACACATAGTGTCTCTAAAAAACATTTTTTTGCATACCCGAAGGCGTATACTATTCTTTTTTAAATGAAAACATAAGGTACCTTTCCGCTGTTTTTCAATGGCTTATTAAATCAAATTTATTTTAGTAAACCTATTATAGAGTTTAAAATATTATTAGTTACCTGCTTTGCGTAGTTTAATTGGTGCTGTAACAACAAGGCCTTTTACAAACATTTTTTTCTCGTCCCAATTCAACTGCCAAAAGTTATTGAATAACTGTAACCTATCTTCTTGACTAAATGTTCTGCAAAAGAGTTTTGATGATTTTAAAGACAATTTGCATTCACAAGCTGGACCCATTTGTCTTTGATTTTCTTTCAACGGTTACGTACTTTTTAGTAGTTTTTTCGTACATTTTGGAATCATATTTCTCACCTCGCATTCTTTTTTTTCTGTTGTTAGAGCGACCCCATTTTTCTTTGTGTACATTCCATTTTTTTGCCCTTTTCTTTTTGGTTTGATTTTTATTGTCAGTTTCAGTTTCATTGGTAAATTGGTCACTTTCATCCGTGTCATCGGTAGACACTATATATTCAGATCCACTGTCTTCAAATGGTTCCGTTTCTTCAGAATTTAAATTTATAACATCATCATTACTGTTATTTAAACTCTGAGATAAAGATTTTAAATCATGGGTTTTATCTGCATAATTATTATCACTAAGTAATGCCTGACCATCTTTTATACTAAAAAGATAACCTCGCTTTATTGATTACGAACAAATTACCTTAATATTACATTAAAAATAATTGTACAACAGTAAACTTACCCCTCTTGGCAATCTGCACTGTTTGTTTTTATTAAGCTTAAGATATATTTTCCTCTTGAATTCATTATCAAAATTATGTAATACCAATAGATATTATCTTCTCAAAATCTCATTAACACAACAACAAAATTGACAACCACCACTCAAGTAATGAAATAGTTTCTGGAAGTCCCACAAAATTAAACTCGCAAAACCACGCAAGTCGAACTTAAGAGTTTTCTGCTAACAGTTAGTTTTACTAGGTTTTTGTAGATGTCGCTAGTACCATTAAATTTAAATATAGACTTACAAGATTTCGTAGTTTAAAAGATATGGAAAAATATAAACCAAAAAAGTATAAAAGTCATAATTGACCAAAAATCGACTTAGGAGGTTTTGCAGTTTAACCGTCGATATATAAAACGAATGTTTGTGACCTACTTTGTTAAATAAAATGCTACAATACTTTTTATTTATTTTACTTCGAATAAACTTTTAATATACACCATTATTTGATTTTTAATGTCTTACTTTAATGTCCAGCACCAGCAACATGTGTTGTTAACATTTTTCCAAAAACAATTTCCGAACTGGAAGTACTGATGTCAAATAAATCACATATATTTTTACTCCACACTGTGAAGTTAAAATAGAAAGAACATACTTAAAAATAATTAAAAAGTATTAAAAAATAAATATCAAAAAATAAATAAATACCAAGTGATGCGAGAATTTTTTTGTAAAATTTGGTCCGAGGAGCAAATGCCTGAGGAATGGAGCTTAGGCTTAATTTGTCCGTTACACAAAAAGGAAAACCAACTGGAATGCAATAATTACCGCAAAATAACTCTCCTAAATACAGCATACAAGATATTGTCAAACATTTTGCACGAGAGATTTTCCTTATACCGAAACGTTTATAGGAGAATATCAGGCAGGATTCAAGCGTGGTTCAACCATTAACCAGATCTTTACACTACGACAGATCCTCGAAAAAGCTCAAGAGTTTAACATAGATATGTATCATATTTTTGTCGATTTTAAAGCGGCATATGACAGTGTCTTAAGACCAAGTCTTTACAAGGCTATGAATGAGTAAGGAATTTCAAAAAAAAACTCATGTGTTTGATAAAAGTGACAATGGCGAAGATGCTATCAGCAGTAAAAATTTAAAACGACTCCCATTTATCAATCCCATTTGAAATTCATAGGGGGTTAAGGCAGGAAGATGCGTTGACGTGTCAGCCTTTTAATGTCACCCTAGAAAAAGTTGTACGAGACGCTAATTTAGATAACAGGGGAACAATATTTAATAGACCAGTCCAAATGCTAGCATATGTAGATGACGTGGACATTATAACAAGAACCAGAGCGAGACCTGCGGAAATCCTAACCACACGGTTGGTGGTAAAAATATTATCACTGTAATTAAGCGAAACCGCCTGTAGTAGGCAGGACATGTAGGCCGGGCTCCTGAACCGAACATCATAAAAAAGATTCTAACAGCGCAACCCGTCGGAATGAGAAGACGGGGTAGACCAAAGCTGAGGTCGATGATCAGGGTAACACAAGATGCCGAGAAGATCGGAGTCGGCAACTAAAAAATGCAAGCAAGGAACAGAACAGAATGGCGTAGAAAGCTTGAGAAGGTCGAGGCCCTCTAAGAACTGTAGCACCAAAATGATGATAAAAATAAATAAATATAAATAAATAAATATATACTTCATATTCAATTAGTTTATATTATTTGTACTATGTTAATTGTAAAAATTATTATCTAAACATTTGGTTCAGTACGTTCTGAAATAAAATATTACCATTTTCAGGTTCGCATGACAGCTTTACAGCCAACATTACAAAAGACTCTGATATATCCCCTGATGCCGAAGAGATAGTTAGAGACCTATCAATTTTGGGCCCCTTATTTAAAGAGGTCATAGCAAGGTGGTCACGAACTCAAAGTTTTTTAGCGACTGATCAACTTATTAGAGGTATTAGGTACTTTGATATTAGGACTTCTACAAAAGAAGGAACTGATGAACTTTATATAGTACATAGTTTGTATTCCGTACCGCTACAGGATTGTCTAAATGACATAAATACTTTCTTATCTACTCATCCTCAGGAAGTAAGTACAAAATAACTTAATGGTATTTAAACAACTAAAATATTAATATCTAGTCCTATAAAGCTCTACTTTTCAACCTTAAGTATTGGAGAATTGAATGTCAAATTAAACAAAATGTTTGTAATATGGTCTTTTTGTGTCGATTACCTCTTATAACTTACTCATAACTTACTGTTCTTGGGATTTAAAATATCTATTTACGTATTATACAAATACTTCTTCTCCTCCTTCTTCTTCCTCTTCTTCTCCTTCTTCTTCTTCCTCTTCTTCTTTTTCTTCTTCTTATGTAGACAAAACTCTCTCTGTTTTTTAATATGCCTCCAATAAGTTGTCGTTCCATCATTTAAGTGGTCTTCCTACTAATCGTCTTCCTGTTGGGGAACCGTTTCTCGCCGGCTTTACTACTCTATTTTTTTTATCATTCGGCTTATGTATGATCGTTTCATTTTACTCTTCTATTATCTTACCCAGTCCTCGATATTCTTCACCTTACATTTACGTCATATATCTGTATTACTAGCTCTATCTCGTAGAGTTTTACCATCAGTGGCGGCTAGTCCTTAAGGGCCAAGGCCATGGCACTGGCTCTGAAAAATATATTGATCGAAAAATATATTGATCACTAAAAATACTTTTATTTTGGCAATGTTTTTTTAATATTAATGCATCATTTACATACGTTATTTATCATTACGTAATTTAATCTCCACGAAAAAACAAATAATTTAAGCGAGCTAACTACCCGAGCCCATTTCGGTATGGCTTGAGATTCGTTTTCAAATGCATAGGAAAAGGTTAGACGAGGTTAGGTTACAGACGGTGTATGGATACGAAAAATGGAATATTTCGAAGCCAGACAAACTCCAGCCCGAGTGTGTTTTAGAATCTGACTTTGATAGTGTTTAGAATGATTTTTGCTTATCTATAACGTTTTAGTTACGTTTGAAATCTTCGACGTTTAAATTTTACATGTTAATCACGATGATATCCTAGACCACAGAAGTTGTTAGGATTTCGGTCGGAGCGCTCCAATTGGGGCACAATGTCGGCACGGTATTTATCTGCCTTCTCACTCTGACACTATTCTCACAAATTCTTGCTAGAGACTGCTTAATACTTTTCTTCCATTCTCTCCCACTTCCTTGTGAACTGATCTACAGCAATGGGGCAAGGTTGGGGCAAACTCTTATTCTTCCTTTTTCATTCGCTAACACGTGCATTGGAATACACTTGATGATAATTTCCAGCGTTTCAGCAGAAATGGTTTGTCTATTCACATACCACCATCAACAGATATTTCCTATCTGCTCGGGTGAGGTGCTTTCTGTGCAACTTGCTGTACAAACTGCGGTAATCTTGACAGGTGAAACGTAAAGAACAATCGATTGCACAACAGATTCAAAAGCCCTTCCGGTTGTTTTTTCCTTCAATTCCGCTATTGCTTCTTTTCTCTGTTTATCCATATTCTCCATAGACTCTCGTACTCCTATAGGTATCTTTATTTTTATTAAAAAGTACTTGTTGGTTTTTTAAATGAATTATAGACAAATAATATAATTATAAATTTTGTTTAGATTTTGAATTTCTGGTTTTTTGTTTAAAATTATAGTTTAAAATAATCTATGTTATCTATATATATATATATATATATATATATATATATATATATATATATATATATATATATAAACTATATATATAATATATATAATATATATATATATATATATATATATATAAATATTGTAATGAGAACAGATATACACTGTTAATTAACAAATTTATTTAAATAGTAATTAAAGACATAATTTATAAGTTATAGACTAGATAATATTATTAAGAAATAATTATATGAGGGTATTTTTAAGAATTTAGCATAAGAATTAAGTTTAAGAATTTTTTTTTATTTAATATTAGATATGTTTAAGTCAGCCATGTGCATATGCAACCAAACATACACTGTAGTGTCAAAGTCAAAAAGTTTTTTATTATTTGGAATTTTAATTTAAAATGTAAAATAGTAAAGATATATTTCATATAAATGTTTAAGTTACATATAATAGTGTAATTCTGATCTGGAGAGCCTAAAGTCAAGTAAATTGTACATGTAGACCAGAGAAAATTCTAGACATGTCAATAGGACTATTTGCATAATACATCATAGACAAAAACCATTCCATTTATTCCAGAATGTTCAGATAGAAAAAAATAGAATGATTCGAACCTTATTTATTGCTAGATTATTCTGGAACCATGAAAAAGATATATAAACCATGTAATTTGGAGCGGGAGTGATCAGTTAGAAGTTAGTCAGTTAGTTACAGATTATGATTAGTTACAGTTGATTAATCAGTTAGTAAAGTGAGTCAGTAAAGTTATAATTCAAGAATTTAGTTACAAGAAGATAATTAATCAGTTAGTTCAGTTAGATCAGTCAGTAAAGTTAGAATTCAAGTTATAGGAAGATTATTAATTGAGATAAGTGAATTAGTTAGAAGAAATTAAATCAGTTACAAGATTATTATTGAGTTAGTTATAAGAATTCCAGGATTATTAAGTCAGTTACATGTGATTAATAATTACAAAGAAGAATTAAGGAGAATTTTGAGGTTATGAAGAGATTATTAGCTAGAAGAAGGCATTGATTAAGTTAAATGAATTAAGTTAAATACAGTTGGAGATTAATTATTACTACAGTAATATAGTGACAGTATGAAGTTAATTCATTGAAGTAAGCATTCAATAATACAACCACAAGATCCAGTATATTTGAAAGTACATTATATGGAAATTACAAGGATTTAAATTTATATATTTATATGGTGAGTGGAGATAATTAAGAAGAAACATATTAAAATTGTTGGATAACCAAGCCTGAGTAAGAAGATATCGAGTGGTGATTATAACTTTAATTTTGGAAAAACTTTAGGCGCTCAGTGATAGAAAGGTACCAAATTTTGTTAATAATTTAATAATTGTAAGAATTTCAAATTTTAGATAGATTGTTTTAAATTGATATTGCTTATAATAGATAGATATGTTTGTTTCATAATAGTAATAATAAAGATAATTTAAAAAAAATACTTACATATATCATTCAAATTTACTCATAGCTCATACAGAAACAACACATCATAACAATATATATATATATATATATTTATATAGATTATATCGTTGGCTATTTATCTAATTATGTCAATCGTCATATCTAAATTATTAATTAGATTCTGCTCTTGCATCCTGGTATTGCTAACATAAGCGTTTAGATCAATCTAGAAGAATACACTTAGGTTGATAAGCTCACAAATTACAGAGGGTTGGAGTTTTGACACCATCATACATCATCCTATTATTCAGTAACCGCATTATACGTGAAATCCTTATTTTTCATGCTTTTTACTAATTACTCATCTACCAAAGTTTAAACTGACCAATGCCTAAGTGGACATAACTTTTCGAAGAAAATATTTTGTCAATAAACTTGGCACACTGTTGCAGGGACAGTTTAATTGTTTGTTGTTTTAATTAAACATAAATACATTTAAAAACTTTGTAATTTTTGTCATACATTATGTAATTTAAGTATGTGCTAGAAATGTTATATTATTATTTTAGGTAGTAATATTGGATTTTCAACATTTCTTTGGTTTTGATGATAGCATCCATAAAAGACTGGCACAAGATATTAAAAATACTTTTGGAGCAAAATTAATACCATATACAAATAAAATGGATACAATTACATTAGAATCTATGGCTAATAATCAATATCAGGTAAAAAATAACTCGAGAGAACAATAATAATTTTAAATAAAATAAATTACAAATCTCAATATTTAGTATAATATCTTTTAATTAAAAAATTGATTTTTATTTTGTAGATATTTGTTATATACCGTATACAGGGAACATCTTTCTGGCCTACAGAAACATTTCCAAATCCTTGGCCGGATACTGTTTCAAAGCAAGACTTGATTAATTCTTTGGATACTAACCTTGCAAAAAGAAATCCTGATATTCCGTTTATTTCCCAATGTGTTCTTACACCAGATGCTGGATTTATTATTGCCAACTTTTTAAGTAAGTAAAAACCTCTGTTTGGATTTCTTAATTAATATACGTATAATAGGAAACACGCTTTTCCCTCACAAACCCCAACACAAGTACAACTAGCAGAACATACAAAGTCAATAATAAGCAATATACAATATAATAACAAAAAAATTACAATGAAATGAAAACTTCTGTGTAAAATTATAGTAGGTAATGGATCCAAATATGAGACTCTTTTTTTAAACCTCTTGGCTTTCGCAAAGTTCATCGACTCAAGAAAATTTATCTTAATATGAGACCATGTGGTATCTTAATATGATATACCGCTTTATGTAGACTATAAAGGTGATACAAATTATTTTAACGCATTGTTCTGGAAATAAACTGTATAAATACGTAAGCAATTACACTGTTAACACGTCAGTAAGAAATTAATTTTTTTTAACAGAAATTATGTACACTGTTTGCACAGAAAGTTGTCATATGTCACACAATCCACATGAGCCCATCGGCAACATCTTCTGCAACATCGTTTGTCAAAAAGAAAATAAAGAATTTAATTTAATTTAATTAATCTCTATTGCTCTCCCTTTATCAAAAGAATACAAACAAGGCATTTGCATCTATCTCGTCCATGTCGTCGATGTTGTCATAGAGAGAAATCTTATTATCTTCTTCATCGCCCGTTTCACTAACATAATGTTTTCTTTTGCGTTGTTTTGATTTAGGTTTTCCTTCCGGTAGTGTTGGAGCTTTTTTACTCATCCCTTCACTTGAAACGTTTTTCATTGTCTTTATTTTTCTATTTCTTTGATTTCTTTTTTTTTTTTTGTTCTCTTGCAATGTTATTTTTCTTGTTTTAAGCGTTTACAGCATTTCGGCTTGCATTAGATTGCATTGTTATGAACAACTGGCTACAGATGCTGACTTTCAAGCGATACTCTCATTTAGTTTTGTTTTGTAGGGTATGGAGGTGAATAAATCCGCTTTGCTAGTTTTTTCTGACTTAGAGGGTTCGTTGGGGGGTAGTCGTGGAAGTGGGACTATGTGTTTTGGGCTGCCGATACCTTACCCAAAACTGCCACCAATTGGTTGTGGTTCTGATTGAAATGGGTCTTTTTCTGGAACTAGATTTGTAGATTCCGGAATGTGAATAAGGAAGTCCTGGTCACTAAAAGTATGTTTGTTCAGTGGGTATAAACCTATCTTTTTGAAACTGTTGATAGAGTTGTTCATTATGTCAGCTCTGTTGCGCGATTCCGAACAAGTCTCCGATGTTTAAGTTTGTTACAACCTTGTCAGGGTTTGAATAAAGCAAATCTTCAATAGCGTTTGCGTAAAATATTTTTAATGGAACCAAAACTTCAACGTCTAGGGGCTGCTTTTTGTGGCTTAAGTAAAGGCTTACATTATTGTTTTGGGCCTGGTTTATAAGGTATACGTTTCTCGTATGGCTGTTATATCCGTGGAGGACAAAGAAAACCAGGTTATGTTTTGAGAGTTTTGTAGAGGAAGTGCGCCATATATGGAATACCCTGTTGTATTTGGTTTCTAATTTTTTTGTTTCCTAACATAATGTGTGATACTTTATTCATAAATACACATTAATGTTTTATAAGTATATCAGATTTTAATAATAAATCTGCACACCGGAATAATCAAAAAGTGACATATAAAAAAGGTAAATATTGCACCTAATATAGAATATGTACTTAATATGGAATATGCTGTGATCCTAATATGGAACAATATTCCTAATATGGAACACAATAAGATTTAAAATAAAACACTATCTATTTTACGAAATTCTTTATTTTTATATTTTAACTTATTAGGATTTAGATACTTTTATCCCTTGACAAAACATGTTTATTGTCTTTGCAAATCTCACAAATAAAGATATCAGTTTCACACCCGGAACAATCTATATGACACCATTCTTTGCAGACAACGCACTATATTCACTTCTCTCCTTTTCGGTCTTTCAAAAATTTTCCATCGCAATAGAAACAAGTAGCATCTTCTTCTTTAGGATTGTCTTACTGATTCGGATTCTGAAGGTAAATCTTGAAATATTGTCTTCTTCTTCGTCTTGCGTAGATGCTGATGGCGTCTACAGGATGGTTGTTGGTTATATAATGATTCCATAAGTACTTTCCGCTTTACTGTTTTGGCTTGTTTTGAAGAAGAATTTATTGAAGTTTCTGAAGCGTCTTTTTATGGAGAAAAGGTAATAATCGCTGCTTTTCCAGGTGCCCTACCACTTCGATGTTCTGTCTGTTTTTGAAAGGTTGGCACCTGTGTAATATTTTCCGGTCCAACAAATTCATTTTCATCTACACTATTGTCGGAAATATTTTCAACTACTGCATATTGTTCTTTTTCAGTATTTTCCTCTTCGGCAGCAAAGAAATTACTTTCGTTAAAGACATGGCGATTTATAGAAAATATTACGATATATTTAAGCCATTACTTTTCTGAAGCCATTAACTACAATTGTCCCAGTTTGCACCATAAGATACGCCTTTCCAAATAGTTCAGCAATGTCATAATGTGTAATTGGTTTTTGAGTTGACCCTAAAAATAATCTCAACATCTCACTATAATGGGTTTTTAAGGGTCCCATTAACGTTTTATCTAAGGCTGCATGTGGTGGCTAGAATGATGGGATTATGTCAACAAAATTCTCCCTTACCAAATTTATCATTTCTAAATTTCGACAATGTGTATGGTGTCCGTGTAAGACTAGTAACACTTTTACAATAAAATGTAGAAACCACTGTTTAAAAATATGGGTTTGAATCCAACCACTTGGATGGCACACACCTTTTGAACCAGGAGGAGCACCCTTTTCCCATAAAAAATTGTGGTTTTTTCTGGGAAAAATCAGATATGGTGGAACAGAAGTTCTTCCGGCCCTCATATACAAAACTGCTGTAACTAAAGAACCTCTTTCTGCAGTAGTTAATGCTCCTAACTGCTTTGAACCTATAAGCACCAGAACGTATTGGGCTTTAGACTGAACAATACTTAATCCAGTCTTATCCACGTTGAATACTCTATCAGCTGAATAAGTATGATTTTTAAATGCTGCCTCCAAAATATCAAAGACTTTGACTCTATGGATGGACGTTCCAGTTGGATATCTGACAGCAATTCTATTCAACCATTTTCTTCCGGCACTTTCCTTTTCTTTTGAAAATGGATTGGGTATTATTTTATTGGGTATATGGGGATATAGTATCAGCTAACAGTAGCCAGCTGATACTGAACAAAAGCCATAGTTTTAACCTCATGTCTTGTTAACCCGTAAAACTTTTTATTTCATTAAAAGTAGATACTCTACCAACTGATTTTCTAAGTTTTGTGATAAGACTGCATATCCTCCTAATTTTTTTTCAACAACCTGCACTGGTGTAGCATTCGTCTTAGCTGATAAAGGAAATAATGTAGTGCGTGGAACATTGAATATATCTGCGGCTTTTTTGTATCCCATCTCCCGACTTTGCAGCGCTTGCATAGCACGAACCATATCTTCTTCTCTCCATTTTTTACGATCCATAGTATTACATTAAATATATATATATATATATATATATATATATATATATATATATGTATATATATAAACTTTATTTTAAAATCTTAATGTTATTTTACCTATTTTATTATTATAGGTTCATTGGAAGAAAAATGTGCCAAAGAATTAGAGTCGGATAGAATAAAATGGATTGAAGCTCAGAAGGCTGGGAAAGGTGGACTTAATATTATTATAGCTGACTTTATAGAATTGTCTGATTGTAAATATGTTAAAGATGTTATTAACGCTAATCAAGCTCTAGTAAATACAAACTAAATATATTTCTATGTTTAGAAAAACTGTGACATAGAGAACAGATATTATAGGCTAATATAAATGTTAAAAAGACAATAAAAGACAAGAACAATGTCAAGTATTAAAAGACTAAACTTTATTACTATTATACAAATTATAAAAAAAATGTGTAATGTAATATATTTAATTTTACTATGATTATGACTGTTATTCCTGGAATTGAAATATTAATCCTATTTTGTTATGTCCCCAAAAAAACATATCCAGATCTATTTATTCTCCCTAACAATTTGTTCCCAAGGCGAAGAACTGAATGGTTTTTTAGAGAAGTGAAGGAAAAATGTAGTGGAAAAAAACACAAGAGTCATACCATAATTACAATTAGAAACCAAACACATTCACTTGTAAGAATAATAAAAAATGATCACTGAGAACGCTTTTCGAAAGAAATCGAACATGCTTTTACAGTCTGCAAAAGAAAAGAAGGTAATCCATCTTCTGTATAATAGAGAAGTTTCTTTAAATATTATAAAAACTATCGAAAACATCTACCAAAATAATAAAATTGAAGTCAGAATAGATGGACAACTTACAGAACCTATAGAAATAGGCAGCGGAATAAGACAAGGGGATTCATTGAATCCCATGTTCTTATATATATGCAATTATAGATGAAATCATAGATAAAATCATCAAAAGCGTTAACAAAGGAAGAGGATACAGAATGGGAAACAAAGAAATAAAAATACTCTATTACGCAGACGACGCAATATTAATAGCCCAAGATAAAGATAGTATGCAAAGACTAGATCATAGATTTAACATAAGAGCAAGAATCGGCAGAAGAAGTATCGGACGATCACGCAAAAGATAGAGTGACAACTTTCCATAGAGGTATTAATGGGCTAATGCACAAGCAGAATTGCTTTTAAACAGGAAAAAGAAGAAAAAGAATACGCTGAAAAATACGCTGCTACATATTATCCACATTGCTATTTGGTATGGAGGGCTGGACCCTTACAGAGATATTAATGAAAAAATTTGAGGCCTTTCAGATGTGGATTTATCGACGAGTATTACGGATAAGTTGGGTTGATCGAATAAGAAGTGAAATAGTTTTACATTTAATGAAAAAAGCACAGAAATAACAAAAACGATAAAAATTCGGGAATAACAATATTCCGGTCATGTAATGAGACATCCAGAAAGGGATATACCTCTCTGGATCTCTCATTATACAATATGAATATAATTCAACATATATTGGGCAAACACACCAATAACTGCTTAGAAGAGTTGTTGCACATAAACATAGTGTACATACCAATGCATTAAACACAACAGCCGTAGCCATTTTCTTGATAAAATCCATTCTTTTGATTTTGAAAATGTACAGATTTTTGAAAAAAAAAACAAAATTACAACAAAAGATGCATATTGGAGAAGATTCGCATCACATTGGCATCAAAGATCTTTCCCATATGTATCATAATTTAATATGTTTCATTGTTTTTAAATGCATTATGGCAGATATTTAAGATACGGCCCTGAACCACTCCTATTTAGAGATACCTTCCAGATGTCATCTATCAATGTTCGATACCAATTTTTAATTCATGTTAATCTTTTAAAAAGGTGTAAACACGTATATGTGATTTGTTAGCAAAAACAATATAACACAAATTGTTCAAGGCATTTTCAACATAAGGTTTAAAAAATGTTATTTTTTTATCAGACTGGATCGCATACTCGTACACAAAATGTCGGTTTAAAGAAGAACATTTTTTTACGTTTTTGTGGAAAATTAGTAATTTAGTTTAGAATGGGAATTAGGAAATTCTTTGAAGAGAGTAAATTATAGCCCCTAAACAACCAGTTGTAATAAATTACTCAGAGGAGCTGATTATAAGACAGCCTTATCGTTTCCAAATAACAGCTTTTCCGCAGCGGCAAAAGGGACTTTTTTGGATAAAACGGCGAAAAAACGAAGTGATTTTATATTTATCCATATACAAAGAACACTTGTTTTATTTACGAGTTTTAAGAACTTAGACGTGATTTTAACAATTATCTTTATATCCAGTTAATTTAATAGGCAGAAAATCATTGAGAGAAATATATAAAATGATATTATATAAGAACACTAGTTTTTAATGTAATATAGGGCAGTTATAGATGTAACTTTTAAGTAATAAAATAGAAAAGCTGAACCATTTATTTCATATATATATGAAAGGGGTTCCTACAGCTGTCGCTGTCTCCCTTCTCTTAACCATTTTCTCCATTCTTCTTTGTCCTCCCATTCTTCGTCTTCCAATCCTCTTCTTTCCATGGTCTTTCCATGATCTTCTTGGTCCGCCTCTTTTGCGTTTTCCTATGGGGCTCCACTCTGTTATTTTTGCTATCCATCGGTTTAGGTCTGTTCGTCTGACATGTCCGTACCACGTTAATCTTTTTTCTTCAATGTAATTTAAGGTGTCTTTCTTTTGATTTCGTCGTTAGCTAATTTGTCCATTCTGGAAACTCTGCAGCTTCTTCTCCAGTAGTCCATTTGTGTGGCGTTTATTTTATTTCTGCAGCTTTTGTTTAAGACCAAATTTTCTGCTCCATATATTAGAATGCTGCGAATCATCGTGTTATAAATTCTTTTTTTGTTATTTTTTGTTAGGTGTCTGTCCCATAGGATTGAATTCAGTTGTCTTATAGAGTTTCTGGTTTGACCCACTCGATTTTTAATTTCTTCTTTTGTAGTACCTTTATTTGATATAATGAACCCCAGGTATTTAAATTTATCGGTCCCCTTTATTTCACGCCCGTAATCCACTCCCAGGTTTCTTGTTAGTTCTTGTGTTGTGTTCAGATATTCTGTTTTGTTAATGTTTATTTCCAGGCCATTTATATTATACTCTTCTTCTAGTTTTCGAACCGTACAACTTAGATCTTCCTCGTCTTGTACTATTATGACCTGATCGTCGGCGAAGATGAGGGTATACAGATGGTCGTTCCTTATGTGTACTCCCATTCCCTCACATTTTACAGATTACTTTACAATTACACAACTCAATGGCTCAATGTCGTTAGCACTCGGTGTAATATTGTTTATCGTCTCGTGTGTTTCGGTAGTGTTGGATATGTAATTGGTACCCGCTTTGGGTACACTCTTTTTGCTTCTTCGGGGCGTATTTCTGGTAGGTGGATAAAGACAATGGCGTTAAAAATTTACTTCTTTTATTGGGATCTTATACTATACATATATTGAATATTTTGCGCTTACTTTTTTCTCAAGGTTTGCCAAATCATGATAAATTAAAATAGTAATTTTATTGCATATTAGTTATAAAATTATATTCGAATTACAACATAGAAACTGAAAATTAAAACTTATCATTTAAGTTAATAATTCGATATAATTTTATCAGATAATTCAGATAAATACTGTCTCCTAACATTTACATGAATTTCCTGTAACCAATTCAAAACTGACATAAGTAAATATCAAGTCACATATTACATTCACATAATAGATAGATAACCGTTGTTAAATAACCTTCGGTTCCTATCTCTAGTCTGTATTCAACGTTCCAACTCATTTGTGTTATGTTCCCTCCACAATGTCACGTGGTCTCCTACTCTACAGCCAGTTTTGTTCTTGAGTAAAATCGATTCGGTCACAATTATTACACTGTGTTTATCTGATTTTCCTTTGTATTTTCCTTAATATTATTCAGCAATGAATACAACTTTGGTATTTATAGCATCAGTCTCGTTTCGGAGCCAGCTAGAAAAGCATCGTCCATTGAAATTGACTTAACCTATAAATTTGAAATATGAATAACGCGGTTAGTTATCAGGAAGATAGTGTACCGGATTTGAGCGAAGATCTCGAAAATTGGATGTCGCGATTGCCGCACGAACTCCGACAAACTCCAATTATTTATTTGGCTATTCCAGGTTGGTATTATTGCTTAGCGTTTAGTTGTGATTTGTGATATACGTCAGATTCAAAAGACAGATTTAAATATAAAATACCTACTCCGAAAAACTATGTTTTAACTAATTTAAATAATCAATGCATATAAATACTTAATATATGCTTTTTATTTGTTATTAATATTCAGTGAAATATGTGAATATTTTATTTAGAATTTTTGTACAGATTTAAGTTTTATATACACAAAAATATCGAATATTTTGGAATTTTTGCAATTTTTTTTTGTTTGGACTCATTATTATTTCAAAATAATTTTAGATTACTCATTTTACTCATATATAAGGCAGATATACTCAATTGGTTGGAAATACTAAACGCTGTATAAACGTCAGTGTCATTCGTGCAATTTATCATATAAAACCTTCACGTAGAGGAAAAAAGGTAAAAAACCATAGTAATTCGGTCATTTTAAGTTTATTCTATCAAGTTTAATTCAACATTGTTTTGATTCTACTAAGTTTAAAACAAATATGTCTCCAATTCGACACTGCGATGAAGCCCAAGCAGCACAGATTGTAATTTTGTACTAGGAAGGATTTACACAAAAAGATATCGCACGACGTCTCAGAAGAAGTCAATCTACAGTTTCGAATACTTTAAAAAGGTACCAAAGGTACCAATTAATCGCTCATTGACATTGATGCACCTCAAAAGTAAGCTACTTAATGTCAGACAAGTTAATGTGAGTTCAAAAACAGTTAGACGAAGATTAAAAGAAACAAGGTCCAAACGTCCTGCAAAGGTTCCACGTCTTCTCCAAAATCATAAAGCTCGTTGTTTAAAATTTGCAAGAAAAATCTGGTCTGCTGATGAGACCAGAAACCGCTGATTATATAAGTCAAATGGTCGAAACCACGTCTATAGAAGAGTTGAAGACCGCTTTGTCACCTTCAATCTTGCTTAGACCGTTAGATTTGGAGGTAGTGGCATAATGCTTTGGGGAGGTATTAGTTGGGAGGAACGCACTTGTGGAAGTGATTGGACAGATGACTGGTGACACTTACCTTCAAAATATCCTGCAAGATCATGTTTTGTAATATGTTGGTTACATTGGATATGACACTTTTATGTTAATGCACCATAATGCTCGACCACATGTCGCTGCCATGGCAAGTAGTTATGCTAATGAGATCCAAATTCGAAGAGTGAATTGAGTACCATTTAGTCCGGATTTTAATCCAATAGAGCAGATGACTGTAGACGAATTATTCCATATTGCCAAAGACAGAGAAACTTTTAGAAATGTGGACGCCAACCTCCATTAATGGAAACAACATAGGAAGAAGAAGAAGAGCACATGTAAGATCAGCTAAAACGCTGTATACGTCACAGAAATCCCGTTCCAAATACGACAGAGCAGCTTCGGCTTGCTGCACAGGATGAATGGAATGTAATTTCCCAAGGGTATATCCAAAATTTACTTGCATGCCGAGAAGGATTCAAGCAGTAATAAAAGCTAAATGGGGGAAATACTCGTTACTGAACATACACTTGTTTAAATAAAAAAGACTTGTTTAAGGAATTTAAGTTAGCATTTAAGTTTAAAAACTTAAAAAACTTTTTCACAACAAACGACTTGATTGACAATAATTTATTTAAAAAAAAATTACAAAATTTCAAGATATGCGATGTTTTTTCATGAGTGTATTTCATAGTTGGATGGACATAACCAGGATGACTTAAATACCCTTCTCTTTCTTGTAGTGTTCTATCCTCATTGGACTTTGGCAATCACTCTAGCCCATAAAACCTTATTCATGGCTTGCCTAAAATATTCAAGCCAAGTTTTTCTGGTCCACTGTCTTAAGTTCTTAATCCTACTCATCATCATTCCTTAACCTCTTGCATCCACTGTTGGATATAGGTCTCCTCCATGTTCTTCCACTGTTCTCTATCTTGCGCCTTCTGTATCCAATTTCCGACTGTTTTTCTCAAGTCGTCCATCTATCTTTATGGTGGTCTGCCTCGGTGTCTTTTGTTTTCTCTAGGTCTCCATTCTATGAGTCTACCTTAAGTACTAACAGATCCAATTAATTACGTTTAAACTATCACACCCTCTCGCATGCTATTGTTATGTTCAAAAAGTGGGGCTAAAAGGAACTATAACGTTAAAGGGATTTTATAGTTTTAAAATAGTTAATGGACCCTCAAATATGAAAAAATAGTGGAGTGCTACCATTTAAAAGGATGCGTTTTTAAGAAAAGGATGGATGTGTCTCTTTGCAGTAGGGTGAATTTGAGTGAATTCTATGCAGTTGTCGTACATATGTATTTAAAAAAAGTTGTTCAAAATTAAATTTCCTATTTAGTGTAACTTTCGAAAAGTCAAAAATAATTTATTTTGCAAAAATAAATCAAGTGTGAGCAGAAAATTTACTGTAAAGGAAGTAAAAAATTCTGACATTTTGGATTTTAAGACTTGGTATATCAACGTTTGTAAATGAAATATCGTTTCTCTAAAGACATGCAAGATACATACCAAGAAATCAACAACAAAATTTTTCCGTTTCACAGTTTCACCACTTTAAGAATGATGCCGCTAAACCTGGCTATCTCAGTACTTCCCACTATATTAACAGCCCTTTTAATGTTAACCTTTTTTACCTTAAAATGCCCAATTGTAAGATAGCCGTCAAATAAAGCGTATAAGAGCAAGATTCAGATTAAAGAAACCAAAATCATATTAAACGGGTGTTAAAATATATTCGAGAAAACCACCAACCATTTTACAACGATATTGTTAACTGGCCAACTACAAAATAAACGGAAATAAGTTATACCCTTCCATTTTTATTAAGTTTTTGCTAAATAAACATTATTTTTTAAGAAAAGTTTTATTTTTCTATAAGTTGTTGAAAGGGACTAAGTGACATGTACAAAAATAACAATTATAAAAAAACAAAACGAAAAAATGACCTTGTTTACTATAATATAACTACTTATCAATATTTGATTAAGTTTACTAAAAAAGAAATAATAAAAAAAAAGTTAATCTAGCGTAGATTAGTTTTTTGCGTTTTTCTCAAAACTTGTAAAATGTTGCTTGCCTTCTTTCAGCAATAATCGATTCATTTCGTTTTACATTTCAGTACAATGTTGACATTCATCATCATCAGCCGTTTTGTGTCCACTGCTGGACATAGGCCTCCCGTAAATAATTCCAATGCATTCTATCCTTGTAGTCATTAATTGACTCCCAATTTAGCTACTAATAAATCTAACAAAAACCCTTTACATGCTGTAAAAAATAAATAAAAGTTGATCCAATAGTATGTTTTAAATCTTGTCTAGATCATAACCAAATCGAACGTGGTAGTAACAATATATATTAAATTAACAAGATATTTGATTCTATGCATTGTTGAATATAGATCCAGGCAAATTCAACCTCTACCTCCTACCCAAAGCAACAAAGTCCTCGAGAAGAATAGCTTCAGCTGTTGCCCAATCATTTCCTGCTGTTAGTATTTTGATGTATCTTTTCCCTGGTATTTCTGTGAGAACTATGTATAAACCGGCAAGGTCTGCTAGATCAACTGTAAATTTGAAGAATTCTTTAACCACATCATGACTCAAGATTAGTACGCCTTTGCGATAATGCAAGTAGACCCGTTAAGTTCTCTAGCTTAACACAAGTCCTCATTCAAATTAGTTACCGTTAAAATCACATCAATATTAGCATCATCCCACTCAATATCAACTCAAAAACTAAGACTCTCATCATATAAAAGCTTTTCTTCCTTACATCAAAGGTGTCACTGACAAAATCGACAAAATTCTAAAATCAATAGGAATAAAGACAACATTTACCCCCCAACCAAAACTTTCATCCCTTGTACGATAAATCAAAGACAACGTTTGAAATAAACAACACGGAGTTTATGAAATTCTTTGTACAGACTGCCTCCGATTGTATATAGGCCAAACAAATCGTATAACAAAAGTAAGATTCATGGACATTCCATTTCTGTTCGCAATTCCGACTTATTTTCAGCTCTATATCAACTTCATCTTCATACAGGTACAAAACTGATTTTAAAAACTCCAGAATCATAGCCTCCAATCGTTTCTATAAACCAAGAATTATCCGAGTAACCCTAGAAATTGAAAAAAGCCAAATTGTCTCAATAAAAGTGATGACGGCATATGGTTACGTTCGACTTGGAGTCCTCTCATAGAGAAAATACGCTCCACCCCCCAATCAAAATCCTACTGTCAGAAATGTTCGCGCAACCCTCCTGATCCCGCCCAATACCACGCTGGCCACCACGCCAGCCTCCACCGAAGCCACATCACTATGGATGGTATAAATGATATATATATATATATATATATATATATATATATATATATATTATAATATATATATATATATATATATACACATATATATACTTATATATATATATACATATATATATATTTATATATATATATATATATATATATATATAAAGGCCCCTAGACTAAGACTAGGCAGTGCAAAATAAATAATATGGTGTAGGGACAGCTGGTAAAGACTGGATACCAGAAGAGCTGCAGGGCAGCCTAAAAATATAATAAAAGCAGAGAACCGTTATTAATAAAAAGCAAAGGCTCACGAAGAGTTTTAACGTCATTCATAATATGTTTTTGTCGCCAATATGGCCAACTTTCAAGATGCTTCATATTAAATTTTTGGCCTTTTCTATATTCATTTCGTGTTTAGTCTTTAAAATTAATTAATATATATTACTCGTGATATTTTCACAGTATCCTAAAATCCCGTTTTTCTCAATCTTTTATATTTTCTCTTTTCAAAAGAGACTCTTTCTACTATGGTTAGCACTTCTATCTCTGCTTTTATTCTCAGATGTTTTGTTTGTAAACTTCTCTTTTTAGCTGCATCAGTTAAAAGACATATTTAGTATATTTAAACTTACCGTGCTCTTTTTAAAAAATAAGCTCTCTGAGAAAAAAT